AGCCAAAGGCAGACGCTTAACGACTGAGCCACCCAGGCGCCCCAGGGCCGGCTTTAGAAGGTGTCAGGGGAGGGGCATCTGGGTGGCTCAGTCCTTAAGCGTCTGCCTTTGGCTCAGGTCATGATCCCAGGGTCCTGGGAAGGATGCCCCACATCAGGCTCCTTGCTCAGTGGGGAGCCTGCTTCTCCCTCTCCCACTGCTGCTCCCTCTGCTTGTGCTCTCTCACTCTCTCTGTCAAATAAATAATTAAAATCTTAAAAAAAAAAAAAAAGGGCACCTGGGTGGCTCAGTCAGTGAAGCGTCTGCCTTCGGCTCGAGTCATGATCCCAGGGTCCTGGGGTCTAGTCCCTGCTCAGCGGGGAGGCTGCTTCTCCCTCTGCCTCTGCCCTCCACTTGTTCTCTCTCTCTCTCTCTCTCTCTCTCAAATGAATAAATAAAATCTTTAAAATTTTTTTTAAAAATTAAAAGTAAAGAAGCTGTCAGGGGAACCCACCAACTAAAGATACTACCTCTAGGTGACCAACTGTCTGGGTTTGCCTAGAACTGAGGGGTTTCCTAGGAACTTGGACTTCAGTGCTGAAACTGGGACAGTCCCAGGAATACGAGGATGGCCGGAGACTCTGCCCAGAAACTCTACTTGTCGGCCTTATTACCTGGTTAGGTTTTTCCATCAGACCAGGGCTCTCCTCCCCGCTGTGCCTGATGGGGTTGCAGAGAAACTTCGGGTGGTCTAGGGTCTCTCCTTGGTCTGGGAGCCCCCCACCTGTGCTCTTCATGTCCCCAAGATCTCCAGTGCAGACATTCATGTCTATCTGTCTGTTCCCATGGGGCTCCTGCAAGGTGATAAAGATGGTCTCCTCCAAATCATGGGGATCTGTTTCCCCTCAGCAAATACCATCTGTCCTGCTCCATGGGTTTGGGGGACACACACACACACACACACACACACACACACACACACACACGCCAAGCGGTGCTAGCAGCAGGGGCTGGAGTGAAATATTTAACCATTAGCATGAGAGGTGCTGACCAATTAGAATGACCTCTGGGCTAAGCAGGTTTCAGATCATGGTGTTCCAGGCATTCACCCACACAGGGCCAGCCTCACAGGTGTACCAACCTGTGCAGTCGAACAGGGCCCACCCTTAGAAGGGCCTGTGCTTGGTTTACTCCTTTGCTGTCACTGTTTTTAAATTCTTAATACTTTATGAGTGAGGGCCCCCTTTTTCATTTTGACTGGACCTGCACATGAAGGAGTTCCTGCTGTTGGGCTATAGCAGGGTCTCCAGGAGTCTGAACAGGCTGATCAACCACACTGGCTGGCATATATTTTGACAATCATGCCTAGGAACAGGGTAAGTCACTCCTGGCAAAGAAAACAGCAAGGGCAAAAGCTAGGAGGAAAGAAACAGTTTCAGATCCTAAATTTAATGTTTTTCTTTTTTTCCTCCCGTTTCTTAGTACCACCTGCACAACGATGAATCTTTGTATGTAAATTAATTCACTTTAAAAAAATCAATAATATGTATCCAAGAAAGAAACTACATGTCATTACTATAAATGGAAAACCAGGGGCACCTGGGTGGCTCAGTCGTTAAGCATCTGCCTTCCCCTCAGATCATGATCCCAGGGTCCTGGGATCGAGCCCTGCGTCGGGCTCCCTGCTTGGCGGGAAGCCTGCTTCTCCCTCTCCCACTCCCCCTGCTTGTGTTCCTGCTCTCACTACCTCTCTCTCTGTCAAATAAATAAATAAAATCTTTAAAAAAAAACGGAAAACCAGTATCAGATACCATAAGGGGAAGGCACCGTAAAAATAAAAATACTATAAAGAAACCACCTTAAGTCTTAGCTAGATACTGTGGCTTACAGTTGAGATTAGCAAATGTTCAGAAAGGTGTTAATGCCCTGTTAGCCCCGAAATGACACTTTCTCTTTGGTTTACTCAGAAGTGTAAGGGAATCTAGAACCTAATAACTTTTTTACGATGTCATTGGGTGTTTACTTAATGCCTCATCAGTGTAATATAAAATCATCCTCTGTCCCACTCTTTCTTGGGAGCAAGGGTTCTGCTCAGGAGGAGTTTGCGGTCTCAATACGTGAGCTACCGATAGGAAAAGAAAGCCTTGTGAGGCAAGACAGGGACTCTGCCCGGTTGTTTTGATTCCAAATAATAAATTAACCGCAATGGAAGGCGGAGGAACGGGGCCCAGACGGCTGGGGGGCCATCCCGAGCCCCCACCCCACCCACCTGCGCCAGCTCACCTGCGGGGCGGTGCCTGGATCCGCAGCCCGGTGGACCGGAGCGATGGGGTCGCAGCCTCCCTCCTCAGTAACCGAGCGCAGCGCTGGCTCGGGCGTCCCCGGCCCGGCTGGGGTCGCTATGGCAACGCGAGGCCCCAGCAAAGCCGCCGGCAGAGCCCGCCCCTTCCTGCGGAGACGGTGAGTTTGCGGCGCGGCGGGAAGGGTGCACAATCGGGGGCGTGGGGAAGGACGTCTCAGGGCCTGTGCAGGTCGAGTGCCTGGTACATCGGCCTGGTGGCCAAAAGGCTGGGGGGCGAGCCCGAAGACTCGATATCCGCGGAGCGTGGGCCCCGGTGTGCCCGGGGTGGCTATTGCCCTCCCCATCTGGGGGTCCCCGGGGCAAATACAGCACCCCAAGCAGACTGGAAAGGGTTATAGGCTTCCCTGCCGTGTTTCGAAGACAAAGCGGCAAAATGTGAAGGGAAAACCAACGTCACTCTGATTCTTAGTCTTGTGGGGTGGGGGGGGTCTACTAGACACCTTTAAGAATCTGAGAGAAGCTGTGCAGACCCTCCACCCCGTGAAGATGCTTGTATTTTAGACACCCAAGTCAGCCCATGTCACTGCTCACTCATCTCCTTGGTTCACATCCTTACAGTGGCCCCCCGTCACTCAGTAAAAGCTACAGTCCCTGCAAGGACCTTCAGAGTTCCCCCGTCATCTGCCCACCTCCCTCCCCTTTCCTCTATGGCCCTGTCCCCTACTTCTGGCACCCAGTCTCACTCTGCTCCAGCCACACACTTGCTTCCTTGCTCTTCCTGGAAAATGCTGGGCATGTTCCTGCCTCAGGGCTTTGTCTCATCTGTGCCTTCTGCCAGGACATCGCTTCCTACAGACAGCAGTCTAGATCATTCCTTCCTCTTCTTCAAGATTTTATTCAGAAATCATCTCAGTAAGGAGTTTCTGGACCACCCTTTTTTAAAAAATAATCTCTATGCCCACAAAAAAAACAACTCTATGCCCAATTTGGGGCCTGAATTCGACACCAGTATCAAGAGTCACATGCTCTACCAACTGAGCCAGTCTGGTGCCCCTGGACCACCCTATTTAAAACAGGAATCTTGGGGCGCCTGAGTGGCTCAGTCGTTAAGTGTCTGCCTTCGGCTCAGGTCATGATCTCAGGGTCCTGGGATCGAGCCCCACATCGGGCTCCCTGCTCAGTGGGGGAGCCTGCTTCTCCCTCTCCCTCTGCCTGCCGCTCTGCCTACTTGTGCTATCAAATAAAGAAATAAAATCTTTAAAAATAAATAAATAAAACTGGAATCTCCATATATACTTCACAACCCATTTTCCTGCTTCCTGTCTTCCTGGCCTCATTCCTGTTTCATGTGGTGTGACACCACTGTATATGTGTGTGCGTATACACAAATTTATTGTCTGTCTTTTTGAAGGCAAAGATTTTTTTCTTCCAACTTTTAAGTGAAAAATTTCAAACACACTGAAAAGCATAATAATAGTACAATGAACACCTGTTACAATCTCTGCCTATAGTGGACAATTATTGGCAGGTTGCCATATTTGAAGTCGGAGAAGTTTCTGTGTTTTTTCACTGCTGTCTCCCTAGGACCTAGGTGAATTGCCCGGCACCTAGTAGTTGCTCAACAAGTATTTGTCAAATGAATGATTGGATGATGTGATTTTACTGACTCTTGCTCCAGGAGCCTTCAGGTTAGGGATTCCTGCTAGAGACAAAGCAGAATCTCTAGGGCTGTTTGTGGAAATCGTGTCCTGCCCAGGACTACGCAGCTTGCCCCGGCTGTTTGCCAGGCTGTATGCCCAAGGGGCTGGGTCCTCCTGGAGGGGCACATTTTTCTGATTTGCACCAAGGTACAGTAGGGGCTAGAGGCAGAATTCTTGGGGTGGAAGCTTCCTTCTGCTGTATAGAAGCACTTCTATCTTCTTGCCCAAAACTGTGCTCTCTCTCTGTGGGCTCTTTATCACCCCCAATACCTAGCAGAGTCCTGGCACATAGGGTGCACTTAGGATGTATTTATTGAATAGAAGAATGGTACCTGTGCTGGTCATTGGCTGTTCTGTTCTCAGATCCATTCTTCCCTTTTCCCCTGCTCTGCTCTGTTTAGCAGAGGGCTGCATCCTGCCAGCTTCATTTTTCTCAGGTCTCTGGTCAGTTCACTTCTGGCTGCCTTCAGCCAATGGGAGACGCTTGCAGGAGACTGAGAGGCGGACAGGGGGGAAGGGAGAAGTTGGGGTAGTTATTCCTATTTCTCTCTGCCTCAGATGGTGTCTCTGGGGCAGAGAGCGTATCTGGCTACCTCTCCTGCCACACAGGTCTGGCCCTGGGCTCTGTCACCACCTCCTCC